GATGGAGTCGACAAGGCCATCATGTGGAAAGCACCTTACAGACCTGAGATAGCACGAGCAGACGACATCTCAGTCACCGTCTCCTTCTTCGGAATGAAGCAGCCATGGAGCTATGGAAGGCAGGAGAGAATACACTATCGAAGGGAGAGTCTTTCGAGCCACAGAGGTGAGCATAGCACACGACCGGTCCTTCAAGCTTCGAGCCAAGCGAGGACCTTGGGGCAAGGGAGGGAGCCTTGCCGAGCTATCACAGCTCCTAGCTCTCGGAGGAATGTCGACGGCGGGGGGTGAGGGAGCAGGAGGAACAGCAGCAGCAGCAGCAGCAGCAGCTGCTGCTGCTGCTGCTGCGGTGGCGGCGGCGGTGGCAGCGGCAGCAACAGGGCCTGGCCTGTCATGCTGACGTGGGCGCTGCAGATGTTCAAGGAGTTCGACGTGGACAACAACGGCTCCATAGACTTCCAGGAGTTTCAGGCAATCATGGACAGCATCTTCCTGGACCGGCAGGGCATCCGCGCTCACGATGGCTGGAGGAAAAAAGTCCTGGTCAGCCTCGAGTCTCGGCTCCGACCTCCTCCTCCCATGCGCCCCGTCGGGCTGTCGGGCGGACGCCTCGTCATGTCAAGCATCTCGACCAACGTCAAGGCGGAGCAAGAGTGCTCGACCGCGGACATTCTGAACCAGAGGACCGGCAGGGAACTCTTTGCCAGCAGGATCGTGTCCCCTGACGAGCAGGTCAGCAAGGCCGTCCTCTCCCTCCGTTGCTCCAACCTCCCCGACTTCCGGTCAAGGCAGTTCGGGAAGCAGGAGAAGCCGGCCTTCCCCTGCCGGCCGCTCGCCGTGCTCAACGTGCAGGACCCGAGGACAATGACGTGGTTCAAGGCAGGACACTCGTCGTGGCTGGACGCGAAGCCCACAAGGATGGAGTTCGAGCTTGACTTCGACTACTTCAACAGCATTGACAACTACGAGATCTGCATGTACGACCTGGAGGACGGGACAGGTGGCTGATGCTCTCTTACTCCTCGCTCGAGCTCCCTGCCGACTTACTCCCTCAACCTCCTCCTCCATCTTCTCCCTTCTCCTCTCTCTCGTCCTTGCCGTCCTGATCTCCTCATTCCCACCTTCTCTTATCCCAGGAACGGCATCGATTGAGATTTCGACGAGATGGATTGCACGCCATGACACCAAGGTGCTCTATCTGCCCTCTTTTCCTTCCTCTTTATTCTCCTCCATTATCCTTCTCCTCCTCCTCCCTCCCTCCTCTTCCACCTCCTCTTGCTCCTTGAGCCCCTTCTCCCTACCTCCGTTCCCTCACTCTCCCCTCAGCTCCATCACAACAGAATCTCCTCCGCCAACCATTCTCACATGCACGGCTCCCTCCACCTCCGCCTCCTTCGCGCCAACCGCCTCCCCAAGTGCGATCACTTCGGCCTCAGCGACCCCTACGTCATGGTCCGCGTCGGCCACGTCCAGCGCCAGTCCAGCGTCGTCTACTGCTCCTTGGACCCGGTGTGGGGGGACGAGATGACGTTCGAGGTAGACGGCAGGATGGAGCGACTCGAGCTCCGCGTCTACGACTGGAACGTGGGGGTGGCGACGGACAAGCTTATCGGCCTCGTTGAGATCCCCTTGAAGGACGTCTGTAACCGGTCAGCGCTCGCGTCCTCCCGAGCCTCCGCCTACCTCCGCGCTCGCTCGCTCGAGTCTCCCCATCCTCGTACCTTCCCCTCCCTCCCCTCCGTTCTCCTCCTCCTCCTCCCTCCTCCATTCTCCTCCTCAACACCTTCATCCTCCTCCTCCTGTTTCTCTTCTCCTCTTCTCTCCCTGTGATTCATATATTGATTGCTGTCATCCTCGTTTCTTCCCTGTCTTATCTGATCTTCCTTCTGTCGTTCGCAAGGAAATTGCCCCATCTCTCTCTCTCTCTCCCTACCCCCGACTCATTCTCTCTCAAGGTCGACCCATGACGTAAGGATAGAGAAGACGCAGGTGATCCCTACGAGGCCACAGAAGTGCTATACTTCTCGTTGTCGCTGCTCTTCCTTCGTGTCTCTGCGCTCCGAAGCAGATGCAACAAACCGAAAATTCCACAATTGTAGCCGTCTGTTTGTTGCAGTCCAGGTTGACAACACGATGCCTCCATGCCGTGG